TTCCTTAGGAGCGAGAGACTTGCTGGCACATGGACTAGAATGTTCTGGTCAGCATGTCATGGTGGGTGTTTGTGAGTGTTCGCTCAGCAGGTGGCTGTTGAGTAAGCACTGCACTATGGGTCAGCGTTGTCGCCTCATGTGTGAGGAGGGCACTGTTGGGGTGTGGTACTGGTCCAAGAGGGGAGGCGTTGCCGGAGCGAATCTCGTGGGTTCTTTTTTCCTCAGCTCAGTATTGAAACAAAAAGTCGGGAAACAATTTTCACAGAGGTGGAAACTTTGATTTGATTGGCAAGTGTCAGTGAAGCCTGTGGCCCGAGAGGAGAGCAGGCAGAGTGGCCGAGCGGGCCCTGGCTTTGAGGAAGTGTCCCGGGTCTTTAAGGCATTGCTCTGTTCATTGGGTCATTCTTGGGGGTGCCCATTGGACGGGGCGGGGTTCACATGCTGTATGTTGATTGGTTTGGGGCTCATGGAGACAGTGGGGGTCTCCCCTTAGGGGCTCAGCCCCCTCCTCTGCTCGCTCTGGGTGGAAGACTGCAGCTGACTTGAAGATGCGATTAAAGCCGCAAGGTCACACATGTGGCACAGGAAGCTACAGTGGGGGAGAAGGCCGCCCTACGTACGTCTGAGGCCCACCGCCCCCAGCCCCGGTGACTGCCGGTTACAGTCTCTCTTGGCAGCCAGGTTATTTTCTTGTCGTCTCTTACCACTGTAACGCTTCTGTTGCAGGCGAACGCCAGCCTGTAGCCAGACCTCAGGAACGCGTGTGTGTCTGCCCTGGAAGCGTGTTCTGTGCGGTTACAGCGACCTTTTCCTTGTACGTGTGTGTGTGTGGCTTGTGTTCCTTGCCTGTTGCTTCTGCGTTTCCCTGGTAACTTGGCTTCTCGCGGGGACAGTGTGCCTCCCGTCAGTCCGTCCCCTGCAGTTGGAACCTGGGCCTCGTGCAGCTGTGAGAACGTTTTGTCCCAGCTCGGGGAGTGGGAGTGAGCACTGGCCACGTGCCTGAGCCCAGCGCAGGCTCCCAGGCCTATCTGTGACCTACTAGCCTGGATCGGCTGGCCCGAGTCCTGTGCACAGGAACCCAGGGCGGGTGAGGCACGGGCCCAGGTCCTCGGCTTGGGATTTCACCCGGGACTGTCTCTTGTGAAGAGATCGAATGAGACGGCAGAGGTTCGGATGCGTTTGTCTTGTGTTTTGATAAAGGACAGTGCCGCCGACAGTAACTTGCACCTGTTTGAAGTTACCCTCCAAGGGTTAGGACTTCTCTCTGCTCACATCCTGCCATCTCACCGTCTCCTGTAGCGTTGCTGGGTCAGGTCGCGTGGCGGGAAGCCTGTAGCACCACGTGGGCACCACCGGCCTGCTCGGCCTGGAGACAGCGGGGAGGGAGTGGCGCCGTGTTCTGCGCTTGGACGCTAAGTTTGCTCCTCGGGAGAAACTCCAGCTCCCCTAAGAGATCACAGGTTCCTCCCCCCCCGCTCATGCCCTCTCTTTCCAAGTGGCTTTCCTCTCGCTCCGAGGTCCTAGCTGGGCCGTTGTCTTCACGGAGACCTTTGGCATAGAATGCTGTGAGCTTCCAAAAACTGTAGAATGTCGTTGTCTTTGCCTCTTCTTCATCTGCCCACTCTGCGTGTTTTTGGTGACAGCCCGCGTCCCTGTCACCGAGACGTGGGTGTGATAGGAAGCGCTGTAGCGTGTGCTGGGGACAGGGGCTGCTGCAGCCACTTGCTTGTTCCTCCTGGAGGGGCGCTTTCTCGAACTGTGGGTTCCTTTGCTCGCGCTGTAGGTCGTTCAGTTAGAAGCTGATGTTGGGGTTGGCATGGAGGCGCACAGGGTTAGGCTGCGCCTTGCAGTGCCAGCATCTCATACCGGAGCACTGGTTGGAGTCCCGGCTGCTCCACGTCTGACCCAGCTCCCTGCTGCTGCTCCTGGGAGAGCAGTGGACGGTCCAGGTGCTCGGACCCCTGCACCCGCGTGGGAGACCGGGATGGAGTCCAGGTTCCTGGCTTCGCCTGGCCCACCCCAGCCATTGTGGCCATTTGGGAGTGAACCGGCAGATGGAAGAGGTCTTTCTAGCTCTGTCTCTCGGCCTTTCAAATAAGTAAACAAAGGTTTTCTTAAAAACTTCTCAAAAAGAAGTTAAGGTCTGCAGAGTCGTGGGGACGCGCCCGCCTTGGATCGTGTCCTCCGCACCCCACCCCCATGTGCTTCCAGCGCGTCGTGTGGGGGGGACTTCGTGAGGGCAGTCAGCCTTGCACCTCGCGGTGAGTTCCGACCTCGCCCTCCAGCAGACAACGGCAGGGCTGAGTGTGGCCCGGGCCTGCTCCCTGCACCGCGTGTGTCTGCCGAGGCTCCCACGTCAGTGTTAACTTGGCCCTGAGTGATCCTAATTGCTGAGGCTCTGTTTGTGCCTTCGGCTGTCGAGGTGAACAGTAGCAGCTGGGGTGCAGCTGGACGCTCTGTCCTGGGAACTCCGTTTCCAGCCAGCGCTTATGCCAACAAAATCGAGAACGTTTCCAAAGAGCTGCTCTCCCTGGCTACTGTTTGTGGTGACTGTTTGGAGAGCCCCAGTTAGTAGCCTAAACAGGCGCCTGTCTGCTGGCCTCGAGCTGCTTTGGTCAAGGTTTTGCATCTGGACGCTCAGGTCTGGCCGTCAGGAGAGCTCTGCTCCTGGCTTCCTAATTTGGTGCTGTGGCGCGAGCTGGTCATCTCCATTGTCTGTGGCTGAGCCCCTGGAATTCCGAGCTGCACAGCACAGAGAGGCGCTTCTGTTCCCAGCGGTCAGTCCTGGCCGAGGCCCCCAGACGGGAAGTCCCTCCCCGGCCCTGAGATTAGAAGCCCTTTGCGTAGGAGGCCTCAGGATTCCAGGCCGGCCCGGCGTGGACAGAGGCTGGATTCTCCTTGGGCTCCGCCCCCTCCCCCCAGCGGTGTGACCGGAGCAGGGAGCCGGAAGCATTCGCTAATTCTCTGTGCTTTGCTCTAAACATCTGCACTTGAGGCTTTTTGTTGATGGGAGGAATGTGCAGGCGGAGGGGCCGCGGCAGAGCTTTGGCAGGAGTGGAAGGCTGCCCTGCAGTGCGGGTCCAGGTCGGGCTCCATGTGCCGGGGCTGGCAGGACGGCTGGACAGGCCGAGCGTGCGGCGGCTGGAATGCGTGCAGAGCCGTGCTCACGGGCGTCCCCGCTGTTGATGGGATGCATCCCCGCTGTTGATGGGATGCGTCCCCGCTGTTGATGGGATGCGTCCCCGTGAGCGCCCCTGGGGTGGTGACGGCACGCGAGGTGCTGGCCTGGGAGTCCACGTGGGCTGAGTGGGACCCGCGGAGGAGAGCGGGCAGTGCGCTGGCTCCCAGGGGGCTGCTGGATGAGCCCAGCCACTGCCACGGTCTTTCCTGGTCGCTTCAGCCTGACCCGCCTCCTGTCTGCGTCCTTGTTTACCCCTGCGGTAACCGGAGGCCCCTCGGCTCGCTGTCCTCCGCGGCCTGGGGGAGGGTGCCGCTGCGGACAGGCACAGCTCCGCGGCGTCTGCACACTGCCAGGCCCCTCCTTTTCTGTGCCCGCCAAGCCCCTGTGCTCTCTGCAGCCGACAGCCCCTCACTTGGCTGTAGCCCTCGGCTCCTGTCCCGTGTCTGTTCTGGGATGTTCTGTGCGGCGGGAGGCCACGAGGCAGCTTTCCCGCCACAGGGAGTCCCTGGGCTTCATCCCAGGTATCTGATACAGGATGTGGGTATGCCGAACGGTGGCCTGACCCGCCGAGGCACCGTGCCCCCGCTGAGCGTTCAGGGTGGCCACGCACTGCCTGTCGAAGGGCCCCGCCCTGGAGCTGAAGCCGCTCCCTGTCCTGCCCTCCGGCCGGTGCCTCCCACCTTTCTCTGCGGCCGCTCTGCATGACGCTGTCGCCTGCCCTGAGCGAGCCCTCCTCTGCCCTTCATCTGCTGGACAGCCCATCCCCGGGTGCGGATTCTGAGCACCCTCAGGTCCTGGGCTTAGCTGCCTCCTCCTCTCGGAAGCCAGCCTTGGCCTGGCAGGTCTGTGCCCCCAAGGGTGGGGCGCATCCCTCTGGTCAGGTCATCACTGGCAGCTGTGCCAACTCAGGCTGTGCACGAGGCGGCCCCAAGGGAGGAAGTGTCAGCCACCACACAGATGCCACCAGCTCCGTGTCCACGTCCAGCCCTGCATGGGCAGCTCCGAGAGGAGGCGCAGAGCCCGTGGAGCCAGGATGGCACCTGCAGGCCAGGCCGCCCTCTGGACGTCTGCCTGGGGCTCTGTGGTGTGGCTGCTGGGCTGGGGTGCGGGACCCCCGGTCTGCTTCGCCTCCTCCTGCCAGCCCCGGCTGTGTCCGGGAACAGCAGAGGAGTGAGTGTGTGTGTGATGTGCAGGTAGCGGAAGCATCCCACACCACCCTGTGGCCTCACCTGGTTCAGACGGGCGTCCTGTCTCAACGTGGAGAAGAGGCTGTCGGGAGGTGTGTGACCCGTGCCTGTGTGGCCGCATCCCATGTGGAAGGTCGTGTTTGTGCAGTGGCGGCTGCACCAAGTTGCCCCATAGGGTCGTGGCCTCCTGCGTGAACACACTTGGGACCCAGCCCAGGATTTTCCATCAGACCTCGTGTCCTTGTGGAGTCTACCGTTAACCACGGTTGACCTTGCTGCAGAGCGGATGTCATGGGACCGGGGCTGAACTTGGGACCCGTGTCCTGTGTCTGGGCAGTGACCACCGGTCATGACTCCTTGTGCCTGACACACCCTGTGCTGTGTGGTGACCAGGGCGTGGTGACCAGGGCGTGGTCAGACGAGCCCAGCCTTGAGACCTGGCCTGGCAGGGGCCCTCTTACCTGCTGGCTCTTCATCAAGGGGAGTGGCCTGCGTGGTTTGTGGGAACTGCCCTGTGGGCTCTCGCGGCCTCATACCGTGCGCATTCTCCTTGCTGAGCCCCAAAACAGCCTGGGATGGGCGTGTCCCTCGTCCACCCGTGTGGCTCACACCTGTGACCGTCTGCCCCACAGGCAAAGCCTTTGACATCACCTATGTGCGCCTCAAGTTCCACACCAGCCGCCCCGAGAGCTTCGCCATCTACAAGCGCACGCGGGAGGACGGGCCCTGGGTCCCCTACCAGTACTACAGCGGCTCCTGCGAGAACACCTACTCCAGGCCCAGCCGGGGCTTCATCCGCACGGGCGAGGACGAGCAGCAGGCCCTGTGCACCGACGAGTTCAGCGACATCTCCCCGCTCACCGGCGGCAACGTGGCCTTCTCCACGCTGGAGGGGAGGCCCAGCGCCTACAACTTTGACAACAGCCCGGTGCTGCAGGTGGGTCCCAGGTCCAGTGGGCGGCAGCGCCCTCTGCTCTCCGGAGTCCCTGCTGGTGACGAGGGCGGCTGGGCACCTGCACGTGCGTCCTGCCAGGTGGGCTCGGCCGGGTTTGTAAAGCCTGAGCGGCTCTGACTTTAGTCTCCATCTGGCGAGGGATTTGGCCAGATGTGGCCCGTCTCCTCACAGCCCCTCTTCCCTCTTTCTCTGAGCTGGTACCACCTCCCAGGCTGGCACCCAGGAGCATTGGCACCTGTGCCAGGCCCTGGTCTCTGGGTTTTCTTCTTCTGTGTCCTCTTGTTCTTTCTCTCAGATGGATTCTGCCGTTCATGGACTGATTTGGGTTTCATTCTTAATGGGCTATGTGGCTCTGGCTGTGGCAACAGAGGCCAGTCCATCTCCCTGGGGTGGGCCCTTCCTTATGCTTCTGTGGCTAAGCTGAGCAGGGCGTGTTGGCAGAGGCTTTTCGGGAATGTGTCTAATGTGTCTCTTGTAGCGGAGGACAAGTGGCAAGGGTGCACCTGGCTCCTGTGGCTGACCAGGACAAGTGGCAAGGGTGCACCTGGCTCACGTGGCTGACCGCGTGTGTCCAGGACAAGTGGCAGGGGTGCACCTGGCTCCCGTGGCTGACCAGAACAAGTGGCAAGGGTGCACCTGGCTCCTGTGGCTGACCAGAACAAGTGGCAGGGGTGCACCTGGCTCCTCCTGGCTCCCGTGGCTGACCAGAACAAGTGGCAAGGGTGCACCTGGCTCCCGTGGCTGACCAGAACAAGTGGCAGGGGTGCACCTGGCTCATGTGGCTGACCACGCGTGTCCAAAACAAGTGGCAAGGGTGCACCTGGCTCATGTGGCTGACCACGCGTGTCCAGGACAAGTGGCAAGGGTGCACCTGGCTCGCGTGACTGACCACACATGTCTAGAGGAAGCAGAGAGTGCGTAGCTGGCCCATGAGGCTGACCAGCTACCAGGAGTGTGCCGACATGCAGCAGTCGGTGTTCGTCTCCGCCTTTACCACGCTCCCCTGTGCTGAACGCTGTGCTGAGCCTAGGTGGTCAGCCGGCGCCGGCCCTCTCCTTGTCCCCTGTTACAGATGAGGAACCCATAAACCCTAACTCCCAGCGCTTTGGGAAGAGGCGCTTCCGCGTGGAGAAGCTGCAGTGGGGGTGCAGCAGTGGGAGGTGTGACGAGCACTGCATGCCGGGAGGATTGTGGTGCTGCTCCCTCTCAGACGCCAACAGGGCACTGAGCCGTGGGCCCCCCCCCCGCCCCAATCCCAGGCTGCCTGGGGGTCGGCTTCTGGAAGCGCCCACGGGCTCACTGTGGGGCTCTGAACTGGAGTGTGACGCACCACCCTGATGGTGACGATTTAAATGGTGTGATTTCTGCGTTAGCCTGGGCTCACTCCTGATAGGTCGGCTGGGGGCTGGGTCCCCCTTGCTAGGGTCTTCTCTCTGGAGGAGGCTGGACTGGCCGTCTTCACAGGGAAGTGGACACTTCCAGTGAGGGCAAGGCGCGGAGCATGAGAACTTATCCTGCCTCTGCTGGGTCACGTCTGTGGGTGTCCCCTGCAGGCCAGGGTCAGTGTGGAGAGGGGTCATGCCTGGGGCCGTTGGGAGTGACCAACCTGCACGATCAGGGTGAAGGCAGCTGGTTCCCAGCACCAGGGGCTTGGCATTCACACAGCCGCTCGGTGGGCACTGTGGGAAGCCCAGTGCAAGTGCTCTGTCTGCTGGGGTTTGCAGTGGCCCGGGGGCAGTTCCACACCCAGGGCTAAGGCAGGCCCCACAGAGGGTGATTTCTGGAAGGGTCCAGACCGACGTGGCTGCACTGCTTGGCCTGGGCCAGTGTAATGGTCTGTCGCTTTCTGTTCTGGGTCTGCTGCCCTCTGCCCGCAGCACACAGGGTCTTGAGGGAGGGGCAGACGGTGCAGAACGGTCAAGGGAGGAGTGACCACAACAACATGTAGGGGGACAAACTCCCCTTCCTCTTCCCCTTCCCCTCTCTCTTCCCCTCAGGTACAGAGATGGGGAGGCCCTGTGGGTGGTGACCAGCAGGTGCACAGAGGCGTGGGGGAGGCCCGTGGGTGGTGACCAGCAGGTGCAGAGGCGTGGGGGAGGCCCGTGGGTGGTGACCAGCAGGTGCACAGAGGCGTGGGGGAGGCCCGTGGGTGGTGACCAGCAGGTGCACAGAGGCGTGGGGGAGGCCCGTGGGTGGTGACCAGCAGGTGCAGAGGCGTGGGGGAGGCCCGTGGGTGGTGACCAGCAGGTGCACAGAGGCGTGGGGGAGGCCCGTGGGTGGTGACCAGCAGGTGCAGAGGCATGGGGGAGGCCCGTGGGTGGTGACCAGCAGGTGCACAGAGGCGTGGGGGAGGCCCGTGGGTGGTGACCAGCAGGTGCAGAGGCGTGGGGGAGGCTCGTGGGTGGTGACCAGTAGGTGCACAGAGGCGTGGGGGAGGCCCGTGGGTGGTGACCAGCAGGTGCAGAGGCGTGGGGGAGGCCCATGGGTGGTGACCAGCAGGTGCACAGAGGCGTGGGGGAGGCCCGTGGGTGGTGACCAGCAGGTGCAGAGGCGTGGGGGGAGGGGCGTGCACTGAGCACTCAGGCCATCAGACCAGATGCTCGCTTTTCCCCTGAAGATCTTCGTGAGGGAGCGCGCACGCGTGTCCCTCTCTGAGTCCGAGTGACAAGGCGACATCTGGAGACTGAGGGAGTGGGGAGAGGGCAGGGTCTGACGCTGACTGCCTGTCCCCTGCCCATCCGTCTGTCTCCTGATGTTTCTGCCGGGTTTTTCCTCCTGACAGGAGTGGGTGACAGCCACGGACATCAGAGTCACGCTCAACCGGCTCAACACCTTCGGAGACGAGGTGTTCAACGACCCCAAGGTGCTCAAGTCCTACTACTACGCCGTCTCCGACTTCGCCGTGGGCGGCAGGTGTGTGTGCCGGAGCCTGGGCCGGCTTTCCTTCGTGACTCCGCCTTGTACTGGAGCAGCTTGTCCTGGCCAGCGCCATGGGGGTGTCCCCAACCGCCCGGGTGCAGGGCGCCTCTCACTCAGACCGTGCAGCGGTCGCTCCGAGATGAAAAGTGTGGGCCGCATGCCAGTGCCGGGCTCGGGTAGAGAGTGGGGTTGGAGCGAGGCCTGGAGGAACAGGAAGGACTGGACGGAGGCGGCCGGGGGCGGGCAGGCCCGAGCGGACACTCGGAGAGCACAGCCCTGCGTGCGGAAAGTCGCTGTGAGTTTGCAGCGTTTGGTGCTTTTCCACCTGAGGCAGAGGCACGGAGCGCTCCTGGGCACTGCCTCCCACCCTGAATACGTAGCAGCCAGGGCTGGGCCAGGCAGAGCTGAGGCCTGGGAGCTCAGTCCGGGGCTCCGTGTGCGTGGCAGGGCCCCGGCACCTGAGCCCCACCACTGCCTCCCGGGGCGTGCGTCAGCAGGAGGTGGGGTCGGGAGCTGTGCTGGGCAGCGAACCCAGGCCCGGCCGGCGCCTGCCCAGTTTGTAGAGTTTGGCACTTAGGTGGCCAGAGACCAGACGGCAGGTGCCTGTGTGGACCACAGGGTCCCGAGCAGAGGAGCCGTCTTGCCCGCGAATTCCTTGGATGGGTTGAAACTAGCGAGAGCTGGGGCAGCCTCAGCCAAAGGAAAGTCGAGTGCGATTCTTGGAGTGGGGCCGTGCTGGCCGTTCCCTGCCGGGTGCCTGTCCTGCAGGTGTCGGGCAGGAGTGCTTGGGGAGGAGGCGCCGGCCAAAGGCTCTTGTGAGGTCAGGAGGTCGCAGGGGGGCTGATCGGAGGGGCTGACGGACGTGGGTGTGGGACGTCAGGTCACAGCGTCAGCTCAGCTGAGAGTAGGGACGAGCTGAGAGCCAGGCTCCAGCCTGGAGCTCTCCTGGAGCCTGCTGGCGGGCAGGCGGCAGGGAAGCACTGCTGTGCCGTCGTGTATCAACACCCTCCCCCGACCCTCGGGGGCTCACCCGACACACCTGAGGGGGTGCCGGGCTGTCTCTCCACCTGCAGGTGGGGGTGTCGAGGTGGCGTCGCGGCAGAAGGTGCGGGTGCCACCGAGAGGCAGAGCTGGCACCTCTACCTTCCTGGGGTCCGTCCCACTGAACGCGAGGGGCCCCGGCAGGCAGCCGGGCCTCAGCGTCCCCGCCCCGCGCCCCCCCCCCAGGTGCAAGTGCAACGGCCACGCCAGCGAGTGCGTGAGGAATGAGCAGGACCAGCTGGTGTGCGACTGCAGGCACAACACGCACGGCGTGGACTGTGAGAAGTGCCTGCCCTTCTTCAACGACCGGCCCTGGAGGAGGGCCACGGCCGAGAGCGCCAGCGAGTGCCTGCGTGAGTGCCGGGGGCTGGAGGGAGGGGGCCCAGCCGGAGGAGGCCCCTGCCGCCCGGGCAGCCCGGGTCCCGGGGAGAGCCTCAGCGCCGTGGGCGCCAGCGAGACAACCATTCAGCAGATGGCTTCTCTGAATGGCTGTCCCTTTTATCTCACTGAAGAGCGATTGGTTTGAGAGGCAGAGAGGGCCGGGCATACAGAATTCCTGTCTCCCGATCCACTCCCCAAATGCCCACTGCAGCCAGGCCTGGGCCAAGCCAAAGCCAGGAAACAGGAGCTCGGTCTGGGCTCCCACGTGGGCGGCAGGGACCCAGCCATTGGAGCCATCACCGCCGCGTCAGGAAGCTGGAGCCGGGAGCAGGGCTCCTGTGCGAGGTGGGACGTGGGCATTCTGGTGGCACTGAACCGCCAGGCCCGGTGCCCAGCCCTGCATCTTGTTCCTGACGGCCTCCCCCTGCAGCTGGTCAGAGCAGACTTCCTTTCTCATCCTTTCTTTCTTGCAACAAGCCCCGATTTGCACATAGCTCTCACAGTCTCCCCACGGCCCTGAGCCCTGGCTCGCACGTCCTGCCCTCCCGTCTGCACTGTGCCACCTGGGGCTGGCCCTGCACCGTGAATCACGGCGGGCGAGGGAGGACGGCTCCAGTGGCCGGGCAGGCCTCTGGGTCTGCAGACGCCTGTGCCGAGGAGCGCTGTGCCCGGTGGGGTCGCCTGTGAGCCTGTCCGGGAAATGACAGCAACAACAAACGAAACTGACCGCTGGCCTGCCACGCCGGGGACGTGGGCGTGGGCTGAGTCCGTTCTCGGCCTTCTCGGGGGTGTATCAGGCTGCGGGGGCCTGCGGTGGGGACGTGACAGCTGCCTCCTCTGGGGAGGGAGCCACAGTCCTGTGCCCACCGGGCGGGGACAGCAGGGGCCCGGGTCCTTCCACGTTGTGGTCTCAGAGCACCAGGCCTGTGGGAGACGGGGGTACAGCTACAAGGAGACCCACGAGGGGAACTCGGTGATGGAGAGGGGGCCGAAGCTCTCGGAAGGACCGGGGCCGCGAGACCTGCCAGCAGCCCTCGGCGATTCGAGGTCTTGAAGAACTGCCCGGGAAGGAGAGGCAGTCGGGTTTTCCTTAGTAACAGCCGCGCTGCGCCGGATCCAGCTTTGCTCGGCGCTCACGCTGCCGCATGTGCCTCGGGCAGGGTCGGGAGTCCTGGGAAGACCACCCGAACACACAGGCTTGCAGTGCCTGCAGGTCCTGGCCCTGGACAGGGCCCCGCAGGGACGCCCTCCGCTTCCTGTGATCCAGCCCCCATCTGTGGGCGGCTCCTGGGCCCCCAGAGTGGATCACCGGGAATCAGGCACTGCGGAAGTCAGTGTCTGAACGGGTTCGAATCCTCTGACGCCCGAGAGGTCGAGGTCAGGTGAAGCTTGCGCGTGACTTGGCGCCCACGTCTCAGGTTGCAGGAGAGAAGCCCTCGGCTCCTCTCACATGTGAGCACCTGCCCGGACGGGCCGTGGCCGAGCACGGGCATCCCCGGGCTGGCAGTGCTGGCTCCGGGAGGCGGGCCTTTCCTAGCAGCGGTCGTGGGGATGCAGACACACGCCACTGATGCGGGCGCCGCCCGAGGCTTGGTGTCGAGGCCCTGACGGCGCTCTCGTGCCTCGGCCCACAGCCTGTGACTGCAGCGGGCGGTCGCAGGAATGCTACTTCGACCCCGAGCTGTACCGCTCCACCGGCCACGGGGGCCACTGCATCAACTGCCGGGACAACACCGATGGCGCCCACTGCGAGAGGTGCCGGGAGAACTTCTTCCGCCTGGGGAACAGCGAGGCCTGCTCGCCGTGCCACTGCAGCCCGGTCGGTAAGTGCAGACCCCCGTGCCCGGGGCTCGGCCACCTGCCTCGTCCAGCCAGGGTGAGCTTTCCGACAGTTGCCCCGTGTGTGTCCCTGTGGGGGCGGCCGGGGCAGCGGCTCTGTAAATAACTAGTAACAGGAAAGCAGGACCACTTGAACCTGACCCGCGAGGTTCTGGCTGGTCTGTGCTTGTTTAGTCTGCCCTCCTCGGAGGCCGAGCTGCTCTCAGAGCAGGGGTGTGTGTCCCAGATACTCGGCACTCGGTCCCTTCCCCTCCACCAGGAGTTGGCCTGACTCGCGCTGCTTCTGCCTGCAGCACAGCTGGGGAGGAGGGGCAGGGCCAAACTGGAAGTGCCAGCAGCTTAGCCAAGTGCCATGGTCAGGGTCCTGACTGGAAGTCCACCTTTCCCCACCCAAGAGCGTCTGGGGACTGCGTAGCTTCCCCAGCACGGCCCTCGGTGGGCGATGCTCCGTCCCCTGCCTGTGGGCTTTCCCGACCTTTCTGGCCGGATCTGCGGCTGACCACAGCCCCTCGGGTCTTAGGTTCTCTGAGCACACAGTGCGACAGCTACGGCCGATGCAGCTGCAAGCCAGGCGTGACAGGTGACAAGTGTGACCGCTGCCAGCCCGGGTTCCACTCTCTGACCGAGGCAGGATGCAGGTACCGTGTGCTCAGCCCAAGGCCGCGGTGTCAGGGCTCGTGAGTTTACAGGCGGGGGCGGGAACGCTTCCCCCAGAGGTTGTGGTGAGGCTCAGGGCTCAGGGCTCTGGTCTGTGCGGGGCCATCGGTATCTGAACACACACGGTGCTGCCTTCAGGATTCGGCCCATGCTGTGCGTGTTTCCTCAAAACGCTGCCCTCCCGCCCACGCCCCTGCTTCTATCCCGGCTCCCCCCCACCACAGGCCGTGTTCCTGCAACCCGGCGGGCAGCACCGAGGAGTGCAACGTGGAGACGGGCAGATGCGTGTGCCGCGACCACGTGGAGGGCTTCGCCTGTGAGAGGTAGAGCGTGTGCCGCGTGCTCTGTGTGCCTGTTCCAACGAACAGAGACGGACAGACAGCTCCGTCTTGATCTCCTTCAGATGCAAACCTGGATTCTTTAACCTGGAGTCGTCGCATCCCGGGGGCTGCACACCCTGCTTCTGCTATGGTCACTCCTCCGTGTGCAGCAGCGCCGTGGGCTACAGCGCGCACGCCGTGTCCTCCACCTTCCACGCTGGTAACGCCGGCCCCGCCTCCCCAGCTCCCCTGCAGGGTTCCGGGAGGATGCTTGCAGGGTGGGGCTTCTCTCACTTGGGGGCTTTTGGGGTTTTGTAGTAGGGTCACCTTGCGCTGTTGAAGGTCATGGCTTCCTCCGTGTGGAAGCAGACTTGTGGGTTTAGAACGAGGGGCTGAGTGGTGAGTACCGCTGCTGTGTAAATCAACAAAGCGGAACGCAGCGTGGGTGTCAGCTCCGCTCATCCAGAGCCGCGGGGCCGCGTGCGGGGTGCACGGCGTGTGCTGGGTGTAGCGGGCGGCCTGTGTCCCTGCAGACCAGGATGGCTGGCGTGTGGAGCAGAGGGACGGCTCCGAGGCCTCTCTCGAGTGGTCCTCGGAGAGGCAGGACATCTCCGTGATCTCAGACAGCTACTTCCCCAGGTACTTCGTGGCGCCAGGTGAGTGCAGCTGCACCGCAGCCAGCCCCGGGCTCGCCTGCCCGCCCCCGCCCCTGCGCTCACACCCTTGCCTCACGTCCCATCTGTCTTCCAGCCAAGTTCTTGGGCAACCAGCTGCTGAGTTACGGCCAGAACCTGTCCTTCTCCTTCCGCGTGGACAGGCGCGACACCCGCCTCTCCGCCGAGGACGTCGTGCTCGAGGGGGCCGGCCTGCGCGTGTCCGTGCCCCTCATCGCACAGGGCAACTCGTACCCGAGCGAGACCGCCGGGAAGTACGTCTTCAGGTGAGCGCCCGCCGGCCCTGGGGTGCGTGGGAAGGGGGCCCTCCGACCTGGGGACCTCGGGACCGGGTTGGGCAGCCAGGGCAGGTGCCCGCGGGGAGACGGGCTTCCCGACCCTCGCGGTGGCCGCGCCCTCCCGCTGCAGGCTCCACGAAGCGGCCGAGTACCCTTGGCGGCCCGCACTCTCCGCGTTTGAGTTCCAGAAGCTCCTCAACAACCTGACGGCCATCAAGATCCGCGGGACCTACAGCGAGAGAAGTGAGCGCCGGGACTGGCGGGCAGGAGGCCTGGGCAGGGGGCGGCCCGCAGCCACGCTGGGCCTGCCTTCCGTGTGAGGTGCTGGCTCCGGTTGCTCCCGAGGCCCTGGAGCCGCCGGCGCCGGTGGAGACACGGCTGTGGTGTGGGTCAGGCCGCCTGGTTGTGACCCCCACTTGGCTCGCTCAGCGGATGTCGAGACGGGATGAGGAGATTCTTCATTACTCGTGGACACCTGTCACCACAGGCAAACACGACTTTGTAAACGCGCCTTTACATCTCCTCCTGCGAGGGCTTTCTGAAATGGGGACGTTTCTCTGCAAGGGAGGGCTGTGGGGGACGTGATGTCAGAGCCGTGGTGGCGTCAGCGTAGCGTCCTCTGCGTGCGTGTGTTGGTGTTGGAGGGTGTCCGATGAAAGTGTGTCACAGGCAGTGAGAAGTAGGGGCCTGGCCTGGGAAAGGCTGGGGTGCAGGGTCGGGGGAGGGGTGAGAGTGCAGGGATGGTGGGCAGAGGCTGGGGGTGCAGGGTGGGTGAATGGGGTGTGAGTGCAGGGGTGGTGGGCAAACTCGGAAGCGCCACAAGCTCTAGAGAGAGGAGATGTGGGGTCTCCTGAGGAGAGGCGCAGTTTGGGGTGCGAGGCCCCCTTGGGGCCTGTGGGAGGGGTGCTGCCCACGGCGCTGTGCAGACCCAGGCTGGGTGGCAGAGCTGGGAGAGAAGCTTGAAGTGGAGAGTGAGGGAGTTTCACGGGACTCGGGCAGCTTGGCGACGGAGCAGAGCAGGATGGAGCGGGTGTTTCCGGAGGGGAGACGGAGGGACGTCTTGATCTGGGCGCACGCTGACCGGTGCAGACCGGTCTGATCCGAGGACAAACACAGACATCGTGGAAGTGAAGTGGGCTCGAGGCCATGGCAGAGGGGTCAGGCTGCAGGCGGTTATGTAACCAGCCAGGGGTGTTTCGTAACTCGGTGAAACACACTGCGAGCCCCAGGCTACAGAAGCCCAGAGCCAGGGGCGAGGGTCTCGGGGGCCTGTGGCTACAGAAACGGGGGGTGGGGGGGTCTGAGGCGTGGCGTCCCCCTGGGGGGATGGGGGCTGTGATGGTCCACGGGGTGGGGAGGGCGGGAGCGTGTGCAGCCCGAGTGTCCCCCGTGGGCACCAGCTCTCGCTTCCTGTCCTTGCTCTGCAGGCAGCACCTGCCTATGTGCCGCTGAGCGGAGGCTCCGCCTCCTGCCTCAGTTGACCGCTTCTTCCCTCTTCTGGGCTCCCCAGACTGTGCAGCGCTCTTCCGGGTTGTGCTGGTGAAAGGGCGGCTGAACGGTCAGCAGGGCTGCGTGGAAGTTTCAGCCGTGAACCCCGCACTGTTCTACACAGCATTTTGTTTCTTAAGGTTTATTTATTTACTTGAAAGGCAGAGACACAGAGAGATCTTCCCTCCTCTGGTTCACTCCCCAAATAACCGCAATGACCAGAGCCAGGCCAGGCCGAAGCCAGGAACCAGGAGCTGCTTCTACATCTCTCATCTGGGTGCAGGGGCCCAAGGCCTTGGGCCGTCTTGCACTGCTTTCCCAGATGCATTAGCAGGGAGCTGGATGGGAAGTGCAGCAGCTGGGACTCGAACCAGTGCCCCATGGGATGCTGGCGCTGCGGTGGATTCTTAGCCTGCTGTGCCACAGCACCAGCCCCCCTAGACACCGTTTCTCATTCTCTGCTCCAGTGGGTGAATTAACTGATGACTGGCCTTCTCCGGGATTGTGGGCTCATCTTTCGCGTCGCTAACTTTCCACGAGCTCTGGGAAGGGGAAGCCAGGTCACTAGCTGTGTTTCCACACTGTGCACAGGTGCGGGGTACTTGGATGACGTCACCCTGGCCAGTGCTCGCCCCGGGCCTGGGGCCCCTGCAACCTGGGTGGAGTCGTGCACCTGCCCTGCTGGCTACGGAGGGCAGGTCTGTGAGTCGTGCCTCTCGGGCTACAGAAGAGAAACCCCGAGTCTCGGACCGTACAGCCCATGCGTGCCCTGTACCTGCAACGGACACAGCGAGACCTGTGACCCCGAGACAGGTGAGGGCCGAGCTGTGGCGGCCGCTGGGCCTGGCTTGTGGGAGACATGCGTCGCAGTGTTTACCTGTGTGCCTGTGTCCTCCCTGGTCAGGCGTGTGTAACTGCAGAGACAACACAGCCGGTCCCCACTGCGAGAGATGCGGCGATGGGTTCTACGGAGACTCGACGGCGGGCACCTCCGCCGACTGCCAGCCCTGCCCGTGCCCCGGGAGCTCCAGCTGTGCCGTGGTCCCCACGACGAAGGAGGTGGTGTGCACCAACTGCCCCACGGGCACCACCGGTGAGTCCGCCCTTCCCCCTGCCCTCGGGTCCGTGCTGGGCGAGACCCGGTGAGTCCGCCCTTCCCCACTGCCCTCGGGTCCGTGCTGGGCGAGACCCGGGGCCGGGACCCTGGAGCTTGGGGGTTTGTGTGTGGCTTGGTGGTTGCGATTTTCCGAGCAGCAGAGGCTTTGTGGGAGGAGGTTGAGGGCAGCGAGAGAGGCCAGCACGTGTTTGGTATCTGGCTGGGCTGTCCATTCCCTGGACCCCGGGGGCAGGTGCTGCTGTCCCTCCGAGTCACGGCTGAGAAAACAGGCATGGGGACCCTGGGCTGCTGTCCAGGCCGTGTGGCCAAGTGGCCTGACACCACAGATGACGATGGCAACAGTTCACTTTGAGGATGAGGACCCCAAGTCGGGTTCACTCGGAGTCTGTCCCAGGGTTCTTGACAGGAAGTGGTCATTTGTAAATTCTCCCTGGCAGTCTTCCGGCCAGTGGAGCAGCGTCCAGCACGTGCGGTCAGGGGGTCGGGGGTCCACAGAGGCGCCGGCAGCGTCCAGCACATGCAATCAGGGGGACGTGGTCCACAGAGGCGCCGGCAGCATCCAGCACGTGCGGTCAGGGGGACGGGGGTCCACAGAGGCGCCGGCAGCATCCAGCACGTACGGTCAGGGGGACGGGGGTCCACAGAGGCGCCGACAGCGTCCAGCACGTGCGGTCAGGGGGTCGGGGGTCCACAGAGGCGCCGGCAGCGTCCAGCACGTGCGGTCAGGGGGGTCCACAGAGGCGCCGGCAGCGTCCAGCACGTGTGGTCAGGGGGACGGGGGTCCACAGAGGCGCCGGCAGCGTCCAGCACGTGCGGTCAGGGGGTCGGGGGTCCACAGAGGTGCCGGCAGCGTCCAGCACGTGCGGTCAGGGGGGTCCACAGAGGCGCCGGCAGCGTCCAGCACGTGCGGTCAGGGGGACGGGGGTCCACAGAGGCGCCGGCAGCGTCCAGCACGTGCGGTCAGGGGGACGGGGGTCCACAGAGGCGCCGGCAGCGTCCAGCACGTGAGGTCAGGGTCGGGGGTCCACAGAGGCACCAGCAGCGTCCAGCACGTGCGGTCAGGGGGCTGGGGATCCACAGAGGCACCTGTCCCCAGCCCACACTCACGGGAGTGTGAAGCCTGCCTCTGCCAGCTGCTCTGAGAGCTGTCCTGCCCTGTGAGGACCCCAGGGCGGCCCCCGGGGTGCAGAGGCTCTGGCCTGGCTTTGCCTCCTCTGCGTGAGAGTAAGCAAAGCGAGACAGACCACGGCCGCCGCCTGTTCCGCCGTCACCATCGCTGGGAAGTGTCCAACCAGGGGCTGTCACGCATGTCGGGTGGCTGGGCCAGTGAGTCACAGAATTAGCGTCCGGCTGCTCCTGCCTTTTCCCTCCCTAAGTGGTGACCCAGCCGAAGCCTGGGCAGCCCGCGCCCCATGCCCGGCCCACTGGGCGGAGCCTGTTGGTCCGTCCAGTTCCCTGTCCCCTGGCATCTGGCCCATGGGCTGGGTGGACACGTCGCTCTCTCAGGAAGGCTGCCCCCAGTGGCCCAGCACGAGCCACGGGACCTGGCACGTCTGCTCCATCGTGACCCGCTTGCGGAGTTGTGGGATTTGGAAACAGCCACTCCTGCCTCACTGGCTTTGCTGGCCGAGCACCCTCGTGCTGGTGCCAGAAGCGCCGGATGTCACGGTTTCAGATTGGGGTGCCCGGGCCGTGGGGCATTTCAGGGACAGTGGGCAGGCAGCTGCAGAGCAGAGCGCCGTGTCGTTGTGACGTCCTTGTATCTCCACTGAGTAATCCCTGTGCTGAGTTCTGACTGGAGGATGTGTAACGGGAAGGCGGGTGGAATTCAGGCACGGGCCAGTGCCGGATGCAACCCGGTCCCTCGCCCGCCGCAGCGCCACCCGCCTTGCCTGTGGGGATTGGGCTGGTCTGCTTACAGCCAGCGGCGTGGTCGCGCTGCCGGCGTCTGTCTGAGCCTGCCGTCATCTCCCCGCAGGTAAGAGGTGTGAGCTCTGTGACGACGGCTACTTCGGAGACCCTCTGGGCAGAGGTGGCCCCGTGAGGCTGTGCCGCCCGTGCCAGTGCAGTGACAACGTGGACCCCAACGCTGTTGGCAACTGTGACCGCTCGACGGGAGAGTGCCTCAAGTGCATCTACAACACCGCCGGCTTCTACTGTGACCGCTGCAAGGACGGCTTCTTCGGGAACCCCCTGGCGCCCAGCCCCACGGACAAGTGCAGAGGTACTGGCCACGGGCCGCGGGGCAGCCACACCGGCTCACGCTTTCTCGACTGTAACGCAGTCGCGCAACCTCCCCTAGCTGAGGTGAAACCCGTGAGATAGATGGCCTCTCCTCACACCAAGCCCCACACCCAGGCAGCGCCGGCTCATGGGCGCCTCCCCTGACTCTGTCTCTGTCTCCGTCTCTGTCTCCCACCTCAGCCTGCGATTGCAACCCCTACGGGACCCTGAGGCAGCAGGGCGGCTGCAACCCTGTGACTGGGCAGTGCGCGTGTCTGCCCCACGTGGCCGGCCGGGACTGTGGGGCTTGTGAGCCCGGCTTCTACAACCTGCAGAGCGGGCGTGGCTGCGAGAGGTGAGGTGCCGGCCCGTGCCTGGCACAGGCGAGGCCCTGGGGGGCGGCTCTGGGGAAGCAGCAGGGAGCTGATGGGACCAGAAGGGTGCGCAGACCCACCTGAGCCGCCATGTGAAGATGCAGACGGCAGGGTGCTGCCTCAGGTGCTCGGGGTCAGCCCTCCAGGGCTTCCGAACCCAGGCAGTGCCCGCGCAGTGTGGGTGGGACGGCGCTCGTGGAGGCGAGGCTAGGAAGGAGCTGCAGAGCCCAGCGTCGTGGCACAGCGGGCTAAGCCCCCACCTGCACCGGTTGAGTTCCGGCTGTGCTGGAACTAATGCAGACCCTGGGAGGCAGCGGAAGTGCTTGGACCCCGGCTGTGCTTGGAGACTGGGTGAAGCTCCAGGCTCCTGACTTTGGCTGGCCCAGCCCATCTGGGGAATAAACCAGCAGATGGAAGATCTGTCTTTCTCGCCCTTTGCCTTTCAAACAAATAGATAGATCTTTAAAAAAAAGAAAAAAAAAAAAGGAAGAAAAGAGGTTGTGCATGGCTCCTGGGAAGGCAGTGTCTCCGCCGTACGGCCCAGCAGCGCCCGCCCACCGGCCTCACCTGGGAGCGCCCTGTGCTTGCTTTCAGGTGTGACTGCCACGCCCTGGGCTCCACCGACGGGCAGTGCGACATCCGCACCGGGCAGTGTGAGTGCCAGCCGGGCGTCACTGGCCAGCACTGTGAGCGCTGCGAGGTCAACCACTTCGGGTTTGGCCCTGAAGGCTGCAAACGTAAGGAGAGCCCCTCGCCCACCCCCCATTCCAGCAGGCACCTTGAGTCCGGAGGAGCCTGCCAGCCCCATCCGGCCGCCTGGTTCCCAGCTGCGGCTGCCCCCACCCGGGCTTAGGTGCCTGCTCCGCAACCCGCACCTTCCACAGCCCTGGGCCCCGCTTCTCCGGTCCCCGGCAGCCGCCGTGCTGGGGTTCTGATCCCTGGTTTTCCCAGTGCCGGTTTCTGCGAGCAAGCCTCCCGGTGTTCCCTGAGCCTCCATGTACTCAGTGGGCGCTGTAGGGGGTCAGCTGTGGGTGCCGATGACCCGCTGGCCGCCGCCCCACCCCCTCGCTGTCTTCCCCGGGACAGTTGGCTTTTCTGTCTCATGGGTGCCTGCCTTCTCCTGTGGGCGCAACCAGAGCCACAGGGCACAGGGCACATGAGCCAATCACAGCCTAGTGAAGGGCGGCCATGGGGAGGCGAGGGGGAGGTGAGCTCAAGGGAACGGCGCAGGCCCGTCGGCAGTCTCTGGGGTTTGTAAGTCGCGTGCTGTTCCCCAGGGGTGCACTTTTTTTCCCTGAAGGCTTGTCTTCATTTGAAAGGTCTGCCTGCTCTCAGCAGACTGGAATGCTGGGGTTTGGTGCGCAGCCGTGGGGGCGAGGCCCGGGCGGGCGCAGGTGCACTGCGCCTCCCTGCCCTCCCCTCACTGTGGCCCCCTGTGTCCCGCAGCCTGTGACTGCCACCCCGAGGGGTCCCTGTCGCTGCAGTGTGGAGAGGACGGGCGCTGCGAGTGCCGGCCGGGCTTCGTGGGCAGCCGCTGTGACCAGTGTGAGGAGAACTACTTCTACAACCGCTCCTGGCCCGGCTGCCAGGAGTGCCCGGCCTGCTACCGGCTGGTGAAGGACAAGGTGAGCCAGCTGCAGCCGCTGCGCCCACGTTGGGTGGCGAGTCAGGGAGACCCAGAGAGGAGGGCCTGGGGGCGGAGGGCCTGGGGGCGCTGTGCCGAGCCTCTCCAGGGGTCCGGCCTGGTGAGGCCCTGGGCGGGGGGTGCGCGTGCAGCTCCGGCCCCACGCAGGGTGCAAGAACCTCTCAGAAGCCGGGAGTTAGCCTGTGTGGTCCGAGGGGTAGTCAGGCTGGGGCGGGGAGGCCACGGGGAGCCCCTTCTCCGACTCTGCCTTCCCTCCCTGTGTTCAGGTTGCCGAGCATCGCGCCAGGCTCCAGGAGTTAGAGAGCCTCATAGCGAACCTGGGCACGGGCGATGAGGCGGTGACGGACCAGGCCTTCGAGGACAGGCTGAAGGAGGCCGAGAGGGAGGTCACCGACCTCCTCCGCGAGGCCCAGGACGTCAAAGGTAGGCGGCTGGTGGGGTCCCCGGGGCGGCTGCACCGACCCTTCCTAGCTGCAGGGCTCCGTGGACGGGAGTTCGTTCCACGCCGTGGCTGCTGGCACAGCCCGAGGGCTCTGCGTTCAGCTGCCGTGAGCGGCCGCTCTCCTGACGCAGTCAGAGCTGTCAGAGTTCAAGTACTTAGCAAGCCACATGCGCCACATGTGTCCTGAGCCACTGAGTCGGTCACAGGTGTCCTATGGGAGTCCGCTTTCATTGCACACGGTTGGGGGTGGGGCAGTGGGCCTCTCCCTCTGTGCTGCCTCATGGCCTCAGAGAGGAGCCCCAAAGGAAATGCCGTGGTCTCCACGTCTGGCCTGGACGGGGCTGCTGACCACGCCGCACCCAGCCCCTGCAGAAATGAGCAGCAGACATCAGCACTTGCCAGGACATTCCTGTCCAATCTGCCTCCGTGTGGTGCACGGCCCTGGTGACAGCACGCCGGCGTGCCATCCGGGGACAGGGAACGGGGCCTCCACACGCAGCACGGAGCAGCCGGCCCAGCAAGGGCCCACAGACGTCTGGACGGTCCGCTGGGCTCCTCTTCGTGTCGCTCTGGGAGCGTCCCCACAGGGCTGGGCTGAGGTCCAGGCCCCGGCTGACCTGTCCAGCTGGAGTCCCGACCAGCCAGGGAGGACCGTGGCTTCGGTGTGACCTGTCTCCTGAGGCTCGTGCATGTCCACTCGTAGTTAGAGCTCACGTTCATTCCGCACACGCCGAAGGAGGGCGTGAGGTGCTGGTAGGGCCTGCGGGTGACCTCGAAGTGAGCCCAGCAGTTAGGGCGTCTGCCCTCGCAGATGAAGTTGTGTCTCGAGAACTGGACGGAGGGGCCGCCCTTGCTGCCTTCTCGGGGTCGGCTCGAGAGAGAAGGGGGTGTTATACCCTCCTCTGCTAAGTCCAGATGACTCTCTGATGCCAAGTTGCTTTTGTTCTCTGTTGTTTCTTACGGATCTTTTTTTTTTTTTAAAGGTTCATTTTCTCTATTTGAAAGAGTTACAGAGATAGATAAAGAGAGAGATCTTCTATTCACTGTTTCACTCTCCACATGGCTGCAGCGGCCAGGGCTGGGCCAGGCCAAAGCCAGGAGCAAGGAGCCAGGAGCTTCTTCCAGGACTCCCACATAGGCAGCAGAGGCCCGAGTACTTGGGCCATCCTCCACTGCCTTCCCTGGGCCATTAGCAGGGAGCTGGATCGGAAGTAGAGTAGCCGGGACTTGAACCGGTGCCCATGTGAGATGCCGGTATCAGAGGCAGTGGTTTTACCCACTCCACAACAACGCTGGCCCCTGTTTCTTTTTTTTTTTTTTTCTTTTGAAAGGTCTTCCTTTTCCATTGGTTCACCCCTCAATGGCTGCTGCAGCCGGCACACCGCGCTGATCCAAAGCCAAGAGCCGGGTGCTTCTCCTGGTCTCCCATGTGGGTGCAGGGCCCAAGCACTTGGGCCATCCTCCACTGCATCCCAGGCCACAGCAGAGAGCTGGCCTGGAAGAGGGGCAACCGGGACAGAATCCGGCACTCCAGCCGGGACTAGAACCCGGGGTGCCGGCGCCGCAGGTGGAGGATTAGCCTAGTGAGCTGCGGCGCTGGCCAAGGGCCCCTGTTTCTTACAAGTCTTTCCATATCAGAGGACAGTGCAGGCAGTCCTCCGGCCAGGGACTGCGCCGAGGGCGCCCAGCCGGTGAGGCCCTGCTTCCAGATCTGTGTTCATCTTTGTGAACTTCGACCTCCCACCCTCTTACTTTCCTTGGGAAAGTCGGGCCGGCACTGTGCGTCAGGCTGACGTAAGAACGGCTCAGCTCTCAGAAGGACTCGGTTTGTTGTGTGGATCTGACATGAGCAGGCTGCATTCGCATGGCTCGTGTTTATCTTTGGCTGTACCAGGACCAGAGTACAAGAGCTAAGTGGGATGGGCGCAGTTAGTGAAGCAGTTTGAAGATGGTTTACAGCAGAGAGGGAGGGAAGTACACAGTTTCCTGGCCTTCAGCCTCTGTTCCCAGCCAGGTTTAGCCGAGCTGTGGTAAACGGCCATTGGGCCTGGCACCATCTCTGGTTAAGCCGGGTCTGGGCTGGACTCTCAGTAGGCATTTCTCCTGTGTCTAGCTGTCCCCGAGTGTCCCCTCTGCCAAGCCTGGCGTCGGAGTGAGCAGTGAGGAAGAGGAGCTCATGGAGGCAGGGGTGGGGGCAGACGGGCGCCTGGGGCCCGTGCTGTGAGCGCACAGCGTGGGGGCGGCAACAGAGGCCGTCGGAGAGGAGGGTGCCGTGAGGCCTGGGTTGCGTGTGAGGTGCTAAGTACCCTAGACGCTCACGGGTCCGTTCCCCCCACCAGACGTGGACCAGAACTTGCTGGGTCGGCTTCAAAGAGTGAACAGCACCCTGTCCAGCCAGCTCGGCCGTCTGCAGGACATCCGGAAGACCATCGAGGACACGGGAGACTTGGCTGAACAAGCCCGCAGCCGAGTGGCCAACACGGAGCGACTCATAGAAATCGCGTCCAGAGAGCTGGAGAAGGCGAAAGTGGCCGTGGCCAACGTGGTGAGCGCACAGGGCGGTCCCGGGGGGCCAGTCACCTGTGATCTGTCCCTGGCCGTGGAGCAGTGAACATCAGTCCCTAAGTCAGGAGCAGGGAGGCCTGGCTGCCAACACGTGAGACAGGACAGAAGCCAGGCCCTGCTCCTCGTGGGCACGGGGGTGTCCTCTGTCCGGGAGTGAGAGCGGGGGGATCTGCCATCCGAGGTGCTGGCGCCCGGTGACTCCCCAGGACACGAGGCGGCCGCGCCCGCTCAGATGGGCGTGACTCAGCGCTGTTGTTCCCTCAGTCCATCACGCAGCCAGAGTCCACGGGGGATCCGAACAACATGACCCTGCTGGCGGAGGAGGCCCGGCAGCTCGCAGAACGGTAACGGCCCCGCCCCTCCACGTTGTCCTGGGGGGGCAGTGACATTGCACCTCCCAGAGCTAACTCCGGCCTGCTTAGATTTTAGCATCAAGGCCTTGCAGTGAACACGCGGCTAAGAGGCTCAGTAGCATCCAATCACAAACTTTAAAAAAATTTTAAATTAACTTCTAACAGAAAAGTTTAATTTTCAAATCTCAATAGAAAGCATTTAATAGCCCATAGTGCATTTGAAAATATGCCAAGGAAAGCAACCATTTTAATTCCTGATTTTTTAGACTTTTTTTTTTTATTAAACATAGGTGATTTCTTTAGGAGACTTGAGAAGTCTCAAGTTAGAAAGTTTTTTTTTAAGGTTTATTTATTTATTTGAGAGGTGGAGTTACAGAGAGAGGGAGAGAGAGAGAGAAGTCTTCCATCCACTGATTTTCCCCCAAAATGCCCACAACGGCCAGAGCTGAGCTGACCAGGAGCTTCCTCCAGGTCTCCCACATGGGGGCAGGGCCCCAAGCACTTGGGTCATCTTCTACTGCTTTCTTAGGCCATCAGCAGGGAGCTGGATCAGGTGGAGCTGCTGGGACATGAACCTGTGCCCATATAGGATTCCAGCGCCACAGGCGGAAGCTTAACCTGCTGTGCCACAGCACCAGCTCACGTTAGATTTTAAAAGCAGAGTCCGGCGCCCCAGGTTATAGTCCCAGTCGGGGCACCGGATTCTGTCCCGGTTGTCCCTCTTCCAGTCCAGCTCTCTGCTGTGGCCCAGGAGTGCAGTGGAGGATGGCCCAAGTGCTTGGGCCCTGCACCCCATGGGAGACCTGGAAGAAGCACCTGGCTCCTGGCTTCGGATCGGTGCAGTGCACGGGCTGTAGTGGCCATTTGGGGAGTGAACCAATGGAAGGAAGACCTTTCTCTTTCTCTCACTGTCTAACTCTGCCTGTCAAAAAAAAAAAAAAAAAAAAAAAGAAAGAAAAGAAAAAGAAAAAAAGGCAGAATTGCTAGAATGTAGCCTCTGTGAGAACTGGGGAGGTGAAGAGACCCCAGGCACTGGCCGGACCACTGTGCCATGCATGACCATGGGGGTCCAGTGGCGTTCCCTGGCAGCGTCTGGGGCGTGGCCGCCAGGAGCCAGGGTCGGCTGCACAGAAGGTGGCCTGAGAGCCTGAGACCACGTTCGTGATGAGAGCAGCAGGTTCTGCTCAGCACATGTGGTTTGACCTGTGAGTTTTCCCCGGATAAGTGTGTTTCAAGGTAGTCTTTCTGGAATAGTCCTTTAGCTGCAAGTTTGAGACCATCAGTCTTGGACAGCATCCCTGTCTGCAGAACACTGTAACCTCAGCCAGCTGAAGTGACCGCACGCGGCCGGGTTAGGGGCTCCCCCAGTAGAACTCTGCTCCCACCAGTGTGTGCCAGCACGGTGAAGCAGTCCCCGCCCCTCCACAGCCACAGGCGCACCTGTTCGGAGCTCACTCTGTCGCCTTTGCCCGCAGCCACAAGCAGGAAGCCGATGACATCGTCCGAGTGGCGACAACAGCCAACGACACGTCCGCGGAGGCGTTGGCGCTGCTCCTGAGAACGCTGGCCGGAGAAAACCAGACGGCGCTCGAGATCGAAGACCTCAACAGGAAGTGAGTGACGTCACAGTGCTGGCGGCATCGGGACTGGAGCCCACCAGGACTGCGCGGTGGTCAGGGCAGGGCCGTGGAGCCGGGTCGAGTTGGATCCCGTGACTGCAGCTGTAGGGGCGGGGGCGAGACAGCCCTGGCCTCACGCTTCTGCTTCAAGGGGAAGAAGGCGTTATGTAGTAGGGTAGGGTGAGAGGCCTCACAGCAGTGCACTCGCTGCCAGAGGAAACGTGCCTGTTCGTCCCTCCTGCACCCGAGTGCTGGGGCGGGGGGTGTTCCAGATTGTGGAATATTTGTGTGTACGTACCGAGATGCCTTGGGGTTGGGACCCAGGTCTGAACCCAGAATCCACTGTGTTCTGTGCACCTCACAGACGCCTAGGCGTTCACCCTGCTGCCTCGTGAGGCGCCCTGTGGGCCCCAGAGCTCCAGGCTTGGCAGCGTTTCTGGGTTGGGTGCTCGGGCCTTGTGTGGCAGACCCCACGTTACAGAGAAGCCAAGGCGTGAACGTGGGCTGGATCCCGTGACGGAGTCTCCTCGGTCACGGACACTGAGTGGGGTCTGGCTGCCACGAGGCTGCGAGCGGCTAAGGTTCTGTCAAATCTCATCGCTCACTCCAGGTACGAGCAGGCGAGGAACATCTCTCAGGACCTGGAGAAGCAGGCCGCCCGCGTCCACGAGGAGGCCAAGCGTGCCGGGGACAAGGCCGTGGAGATCTACGCCAGCGTGGCCCAGCTGAGCCCCGTGGACTCGGAGGCCCTGGAGGTACGGGGCAGCCGAGGGCATGCACACCGAGACCCACCCCCGGCGAGCCGCTGCGTCGTGGCGCATGGGCACAGGTGGCACCCATGCACGGCAGAGGCGCCTGGGCCTGAGGCCCCCATGTCAGCCCAGCTCTGGTGCACGGCACTCACCTGCAGCAGGGGACTCCCAGGGACAGAGGGGCGTGCCCCAGGCTGGGGCTGCGTGGGCTCTGTGTTCCTGTCTGTTGGGGGGCCTCTCCCTAGGCTCTGAATGGATGGTACATTTTCCACATCAAACTTTTTTTATTTATTTGTTCAAAAGGCTGAGTGACAGGGAGGCTAAAAAGATCTTCCATTCTCTGGTTCACTCCCCAAATGCCCACAGAAGCCAGGACTGGGCCACACTGAAGTCAGGAGCCAGGAGCTCCATCCAGGTCTCCCACGTGGGTGCAGGGGCCCAAGCACCCGGGCCACCTTCCACTGCCTTCCCAGACCGTGAGCAGGGAGCTGGATGGGATGTGGAGCAGCCGGGACTCACACCAGCACTCCCAGTGTGGGACGTGGCACCCCGGCGATGGCTGCACCTGCCACGCCACAGTGCCTGCCCATGGACCATGCAGGGTGCCGGCTGTCACTCGCCGTGTCCGAGGGGCTAGGCCAGTCTTTACTGTTAGGGTCAGGGCTCTTCAGACACGCGCCTGCCACCTGCTTCCTCGGACGGGGAATTTGGAAAACAGACAAGGCTGTGACCAAAGCCAGGAAGTGTCCGCTGCTGTGGTGCCTGGAAGGACACAGGGGCCGTCCCGTGTCCTGGTCAGGGCGTGGGTGCACGTGGTCCCGCGTGTCACGTCCGTGGCATCCTGCCACGCGTCGCTGTGTGCCCTGTCTGAAGTGGAGCCGTCTCCCTCAGAATGAAGCACGCAAGATAAAGAAGGAAGCTGAGGACCTGGCCCGGCTGGTGGACCAGAAGCTGAGCGACTACGAGGACCTCAGGGAAGACATGAGAGGGAAGGAGTTTGACGTGAAGAACCTTCTGGAGAAGGGGAAGACAGAGCAGCAGGTCGGTCTGACCGGGGCTGCCTCTGGCTGAACGTGTGGGCGGTGTCCAGAGCGTGCAGAGCTGAGCCTGGCCGGTGGGGGTCGGGGCCTGCCCATCAGGGGCCTGCCCGTCGGGGGTCCTGCCATCGGAGGCCGTGCCCGTCGGGGGCCTGCCCATCAGGGACCCTGCCTGTCGGGGGCCTGCCCGTCGGGGGTCCTGCCATCAGGGGCCGTGCCCGTCGGGGGCCTGCCCATCAGGGACCCTGCCTGTCGGGGGCCTGCCCATCGGGGGTCCTGCCATCAGGGGCCGTGCCCGTCGGGGGCCTGCCCATCAGGGACCCTGCCTATCAGGGGCCTGCCCATCGGGGTCCTGGCCATCAGGGACCCTGCCCGTCGGGCCATGTCCGTCAGGGTGCCGTGCCTGTTGAGCCGTGCCGGGCTCACGCCTCGCCGCCTGCCCTCACAGACCGCAGACCAGCTGCTGGCCCGTGCCGATGCGGCCAAGGCCCTTGCCGAGGAGGCAGCGAAGCGGGGCCGAGACACTTTGCAGGAAGCTAACGACATCCTGAGCAACCTGAAAGGTAGGGGAGGCGGGGTGGGCCTGCACCCACGTCCCCTCTGCTGCCCGGGGCTTCAGAGCACCCCCAGAGCCTGCGTCCCCATGCCCCCCGCAAGCTCGGGACGGCTGCGTCGCCTGCTGCGCTGGCTTCCCTGTCCCCTGCCTATGGCGTCCCACTGTTCTTGGTCTTTTCACCCAATTCCCTGAGCAGCCCCGGTGCCCCTGTCCACACGGGGGTGGGGCCCGTGGCCTGCGTCTGAATCCCCACTCATGGATTGGGTCAGCTCTGCCCCCTTGGTTTCTCACTCACAGAACGGCACACAAGGGACACTCGGCCGTTGCGCAGTCCAGCGGCGGGGGCTGGCCTCCCTGGGCTCCCGGTGACACGTTTTCCATGAGGCGTGTCTCAGGCGTGACCGTGTGTGGCGGTGACACGCCCCGGGGCGTCTGTGTTGCCGCACACCTGTGGTCAGCGGTCTCTCCCCCGCCCGTCCCTGGCAGACTTCGACAGGCGCGTGAATGACAACAAGACGGCTGCGGAGGAGGCGCTGCGCAGGATCCCGGCCATCAGCCAGACGCTCGCCGAGGCCAACGAGAAGACCCGCGAGGCGCAGCTGGCGTTGGGCAACGCCGCGGCCGACGCCACTGAGGCCAAGCTCAAGGCCCACGAGGCTGAGCGGATCGCCAGTGCCGTCCAGAAGGTGCCCACAGGCCTGCCCCCCTTTCCTGGGCTCCAGCAAAACTGCCGAGACCCTGTGCTCCCCTCGTAGGCTAGGGTTAGAGCAGCGCCCACCCCGACTGGGGAGGACGCCAGACAAGCCCCCTGCTCGGGGACCCCTGCTGCGTCTCCATGGGGGCTCTGAAGGCCAGCGAGCCCCTCCCAGAGAGCAGCCCCTTCCTGGGTCCCTCAGCCATAGCACTGGCACGTTTTCCACCTTGCTCCGAGTGCCTTGAACACGACTCACCTGCAAGCCAGCAAGTGAGCAAGTGCATCACCCGCCCCTCCAGAGACCCCCACAGAGACCCCTCCCGGAGGAGAGATGGAGGTTCACAGGGGTTTGTGGGTGTCTTTCCCCAGGGGGCTCTGAATTGGTCTGGGGCTGAGGTCTTGTAGTTGTGAACTGGGAGGAGGCAGGGCCGCAGCCGCGTGCGTGGCCTGGCGTGCCGGGAAGCGTGGTCGTGCGCTGGTCGTGCGCTGGCCCTGCGGTCTTGGGTGGGAACGGCAGGAGCAGAGCGGACGTCGGGGTCAAAGCGGTTGCACCTGGAGGTGCCTGTAACCCGTGAGGCGCCGCGCTGGGAGCCGTCGGTTCCTCGGGTGGCGGAGGCCAGCGGCCGCTGTGCCCGTCAGGGCCGGAGCCGCCCTCGGACACGGGGTCGGTGTGCTCAGCAGTTTGCTGCTCTTGGCCCAGAACGCGACCAGCACCAAGGCAGAAGCTGAGCGGACGTTTGCGGAGGTCACGGGTCTGGACCACGAGGTGAACGAAATGTTGAAGCAGCTGCAGGACGCAGAGAGGGAGCTGAGGAGGAAGCAGGACGACGCCGACCAGGACATGATGATGGCGGGGATGGTAGGGCAGGGCGGGGGCGGGGGCCCGGGTGCTGAGCGGGTGGGGGCGAGGGCCCGGGTGCTGAGCGGGGCGGGGGGGGGGGGGGTAGTGAGGAGCCCAGGTGCTGAGCGGGGCAGGGTGGCGGGGTGGCGGGGGCGTGGGCCTGGGTGCTGAACGGGGCAGGGTGGCGGGGGCGTGGGCCCGGGTGCTGAGGGGGGCGGGGGCGAGGGCCCCGGTGCTGAGCGGGGCAGGAGGGGCGGGGCGAGGGCCCGGGTGCTGAGCGGGCGGGGGCGAGGGCCCAGGTGCTGAGCGGGGCGGGGGGCGGGGGCGTGGGCCCGGGTGCTGAGCGGGTGGGGGCGAGGGCCCGGGTGCTGAGCGGGGCGGGGGGCGGGGGCGAGGGCCCGGGTGCTGAGCGGGTGGGGGCGAGGGCCCGGGTGCTGAGCGGGGCGGGGGGCGGGGGCGGGGGCGTGGGCCCGGGTGCTGAGTGGGGCGGGGCGGGGGTGAGGAGCCCAGGGTGCTGAGCGGGGCAGGGTGGGGGGGGGTGAGGAGCACAGGGTGCTGAGCGGGGCAGGGTGGGGGGGGTGAGGAGCCCAGGTGCTGAGCGGGGCAGGGGGGATGGTGAGGAGCCCAGGGTGCTGAGCGGGGCAGGGTGGCGGGGGCATGGGCTCGCGGTGGCCACAGTGGAGGCAAGGCAGCGCACGGAGGCCGGTGTGCCATGCAGGGTCCTGTCCATTGATTGCTTTCTACTGCGAGCGTGTTCTGCCCAGGCATTGGGTTTGCGGCTGCGTAGGAAGTCCGAATCCTGGCCTCCACCAGGAGTTCTGCCACACATCCCCGCCCACGGCCACGACTCGCTCTCGCATGGAGGCCGGGGGACGCGGCAGAGCAGGCGTGCCTCTGAGTGGCTGATGGCTAAGCGGTGTGAGGTCAGAGTTAGTGTCCCCCAGCGCTGGCTCCGGGGCAGCCCCAGAGAAGCAGCCCCCAGGCTCGCCTCCGCGGCCACGTGCGGGTGACTTGTGGGTGCCAGCACCCTCCTATTCCCACTGTGCCTTGGAACTGGGGTGCAGGTCTTGGCAGAAGGCGCCTTCTGTCCGGGGCAGGGCTGGGCAGGGACCTTGGCTGACCCGCACAGGAGCTCTTGAGGCAGACAGGGCGTTGCCCTCTGCTGCCAAGGCAGCACCCAGCTGCTCATCACTTCACCTCAGCTGGGGGCAGGGCGCATCCCCATGTAGGCAGTGAGGGGGTCCCTGGGCTGCGGGACGCTGGGTTCCGCGTGGGTTTATTGAAATGACAGGGCGGAGCTCCCGCTGTGTCCCCCTCACACACTGCCTGCCAGGACCCACACTGGGGCCGGCTGGGCTCGTCCTGCCAGCCCGGCGTGGGACGGCAGCCACGACGGGGCCCCAGGCTTGCCGCTGACCCCGCGTGCTGCTGCTTGGTGTGAGGTGCCTGTGGCTCTGAGCGCAGAACACGCTGAGAACAGGAAGGCGAGGTGTGCAAGGCCGTGCGGGGCCACCGGGTCACTCCCTGCAGCCGTGTCTGGAGCGCACCTGCTTCCTGGGCCTCGGCCTTGCCTGCATGTCAGCTGCCACGGGCTTCCCCACTTATCTGTCTCTGCGGAGGGCTGTGTGCTGTGTGTCTGGTGTGCTGTGCGGGTGGTGTTTCTGTGGGGGGGGGGGGGTGTCTCCATGGTGTGTAGTTGTAGCTGGGTATTGTGTCTGGGCATGTTTGCGTGGTACATGCTGTGTGTGTGCCATGCTTGCCTATGCGTGCCGTGTCATTGCGGCTGTGTCTCGGGTCTGTGATGGGTTTTATGTGTGTGGTGTGCCTGCGTGCTTGTAGTTGTAGCTGGGTGTTGTCTGGGATGTGTGCTCTGCATGGTGTGGTGGGTGCTGTGTCTCTGGCGTGTTCAGTGTGTGTCGTGTCTGCATGATGGGTGCTGTGTCTCTGATGTGTGCTACATGTGTTGTATCTCTGGCGTGCCCTGTGTGTGGTTTGTGTGTGGTAGACGCTGTGTCTGGCGTGTGCTGTGTGTGGTTTGTGTGTGGTAGACGCTGTGTCTGGCGTGTGCTGTGCGTGGTTTGTGTGTGGTAGACACTGTGTCTCTGGCGTGTGCTGTGTGGCGTGTTTGTGTGTGGTACACGCTGTGTCTCTGGCGTGTGCTGTGTGCTTTGTGTGTGGTAGACACTGTGTCTCTGGTGTGTGCTGTATGGCGTGTTTGTGTGTGGTAGACGCTGTGTCTGGCGTGTGCTGTGTGTGGTTTGTGTGTGGTAGACACTGTGTCTCTGGCGTGTGCTGTGTGGTGTGTTTGTGTGTGGTAGACGCTGTGTCTGGCGTGTGCTGTGCGTGGTTTGTGTGTGGTAGACACTGTGTCTCTGGCGTGTGCTGTGTGGCGTGTTTGTGTGTGGTACACGCTGTGTCTCTGGCGTGTGCTGTGTGGCATGTTTGTGTGTGGTACACGCTGTGTCTCTGGCGTGTGCTGTGTGCTTTGTGTGTGGTAGACACTGTGTCTCTGGCGTGTGCTGTGTGTGGTTTGTGTGTGGTAGACACTGTCTCTGGCGTGTGCTGTGTGGCGTGTTTGTGTGTGGTAGACACTGTGTCTCTGGTGTGTGCTGTGTGGCGTGTTTGTGTGTGCTGTGTGTGGCGTGTCCATGCATGGTGTGTCTGCAGCTGGAGTCTGGGTGAGGGGGCTGCAGGAGACGTCCCTTGGCCACGACGTCTTTGAAGAGCACTTGTTTCTGTGGGGCCCCAGGAGGCCTGGAGGGCGAGCACTGGCTGCCCCGGAGGCCCCTGCCCTCGCCCCGTGCACGGCCTCCGCAGGCTGGGTTTGCACCCCTGGGCACTCCTGACGGACCCACAGGGAAAGGCGCGATCATCTAGAGCCCGCTGGCCACTCTACGTGTTGTCACCCGGGTGCAGATGAGAAATTCCCCCCCGAGCCTGCCCAACCACACCCTGCCGTGGGGTTGGGGCAGGACCCTGAGCACGTGCCTCCTCCCCCAGGCGTCGCAGGCCGCCCAGGAAGCCGAGATCAACGCCCGGAAGGTGAAGAACTCTGCCACCAGCCTCCTGGGCATCGTCAGCGACCTCCTGCAGCAGCTGGGTGAGTGGCAGGAGCTGGCTCTGTGCCGGGGCCAGGGCCGGGGGGCCGCGGGCCAGAGGCCCCCTCGGAGTCACCCGCGTCGTCTGGCTCCGGTGTGAGATGCCGCACACGGTGAATGGTGTCAGCTGGAGGGGGAGCCGTGGCGTGGCTTTGGGCTGTGTCCTCGGTCTGGGCTAGGCAGAGCGGGGCCGAGCCGGGCTTCCCCGGCCATCTTCTGGCAGCGCCTCAAGGGTTCACGGTGAAGGTTGTGAGCGGGTAGAGGACGCGGCCCGGGGGTCTCTGCCCCGAGAGCGGTGAGGTCTGATTGCTCGGGGCTTCCTTACCCAGTGGGGGACATGCCAGAGCCAACCAGCAGCTTGGGGCTGGGGGACAGGTGCGGGCCAGCCGTCAGGGAGCCGCTCCAGCTGTGCCCGCTGCAGCCAGGAGTGTAGGCTTTAGGGGGTGGTGAGTTTTGTGTGGGGTTCTCGTTGGGGTGGGCACTTTGTCTCAAGGGTCAGGCAGAGTGTGTTGTGTACCAGCAGCAGATGGAAAATGCACGCGGGCTAGAGCGAGGGAGCCCAGGGCAGCGGGGGGGGGTCGCCAGCCTGCAGTGCCGGGACCCAGGGCAGCAGGGGGGTGGTTGCCAGCCTGCAGTGCCAGGACCCAGGGCAGCGGTGGGGTGGTCGCCAGCCTGCAGTGCCGGGACCCAGGGCAGCAGGGGGGGTGGTCGCCAGCCTGCAGTGCCAGGACCCAGGGCAGCAAGGGGGGGTGTCACCAGCCTGCAGTGCCGGGACCCAGGGCATCAGGGGGTGGTCACCAGCCTGCAGTGCCAGGACCCAGGGCAGCGGGGGGGTCACCAGCCTGCAGTGCCAGGACCCAGGGCAGCGGGGGGGGTCGCCAGCCTGCAGTGCCAGGACCCAGGGCAGCGGGGGGGTCACCAGCCTGCAGTGCCAGGACCCAGGGCAGCAGGGGGGGTGGTTGCCAGCCTGCAGTGCCGGGACCCAGGGCAGCGGGGGGGGTCGCCAGCCTGCAGTGCCAGGACCCAGGGCAGCAGTGGGGGGGCGGTCGCCACCCTGCAGTGCCAGGACCCAGGGCAGCGGGGTCAGTCGTCAGCCGGTAGTGCTGGGGTCCAGGACAGCCGGGGGGGGGGGGGGATGGCAGTCTTCAGCCAGCAGTGCTGGGGTCCAGGGCTGGGAGGGGGGGGTAGTCGTCAGCTGGCGGTGCCGGGGTCCAGGGTGGGGGGTGTGGGGAGCAGGGCCCGTCTCCCGCCACATGGCAGGGCGCCCGGGAGACAAATAAGTACTGAGACTGTGGACTGAAACTAACTATGCGTCTGATCTCCCACCATATGGCGCTGAGAGAGTAAACAAATCTTACACAGCTGCTTCGTTAATTAGCTGATTCCTGACCCAACCCCTGTTTGGAAGAAAGCGGCGAGCTCAGCACATGGGCAGCAGAGCACGGATTGGTGGGAGGGGACTATAAAAGGGGGAGAGAGACAACATGCGGGGCCCCCTGAGAGAGCTGGTCGGGGAGCTCGCTGGTGCCGCTCCTCCGCAAAAGCAGGGGAGTGGCGGGGGTGCCGCCCCTCCGCGGAGGCGGGCGAGCGGCAGCAAATCCGGGAAGTGCCGGGGAAAGAAAACAGGGTCCGCTGCCGTTCCTCCGCTCGCGGAGGAGCGACAAGTGGTGCCGTGACTCGGATACGGACAGGAGGAGGAAAGCCGGGAAAATACTGGAGGGAAACTAGGGAGAACCTAGGGAAAAACAGCGCAAGGCCCGGTGCCGTTCCTCCGCTCGCGGAGGAGCGACGGGGTGGTCGTCGGCCGGTGGTGCCGGGGCCCAGGGTGGGGGGCGGTCGTCGGCCGGCGGTGCTGGGATCCAGGGTGGGGGGCGGTCGTCGGCCGGCGGTGCCGGGGCCGGGAGGGTTTCCTGAGCACTTTGCGCCTGCGTGCTTTCCCGTGGAAGTGGTTTCTTCACGAGAATCGCCTTCCCAAGCTGACCGTGCAGCTGGAGTCATCTAGCGCCCCCAGCGGCGTCTCCTGAGGGCTTCCTCCTCGCTGTGTCTGAGCCTAGGGCTGGGGCCTGTGTTCCCTGCTGTGTGCCCACGTGGCGCTGACGTGACCGAGCCACTTCTCTGTGGCTAACATGACGCGGTGTCCGGGCATGCACCGGCAGAAGGTGTTGTCCGTCCCCGGAGTCCGGCCTGGTCAGGTCTGGGGGGCGGAAACTGCTCTTAGCAGGCCCGGCCCCTCTCAGGGAAGCAGCAGCCGCGTGCGTCTGCCCTGGGCTCGCGCCGTCAGGCCCTGGAGGACAGCACAGCCCGCAGGTCCCTGCTGCAGGCCCTTGGGGCGAGGTGCCGCGCGCGTCCGAGCCCTCCTGTGTCCCCTCTGGCCTGCAGGGCAGCTGGACACGGTGGACCTGAACAAGCTGAGTGAGATCGAGGGCAGCCTGAACAAGGCCAAGGAGGAGATGCAGGCCAGCGACGTGGACCGCAAGGTGGCGGAGCTGGAGCGGGAAGCCCGGAAGCAGGAGGCCGCCCTGCTGGACTACGAGCGCGACATCGAGCAGGTGCTGCGCGACATCCGCAACCTGGAGGACATCCGCGGCTCGCTGCCGGCCGGCTGCTTCAACACGCCGTCCATCGAGAAGCCCTAGGCGCGGCCGCGGGCCCGCGCTGCCCCGCACTGCCCCTCAGCGCTGGGAACAGCCCCAGGCTCAGCGCGGGCGCGGCACACACCGGGCAGCCTCGCCCCGCCCCCTCCCATCCCCGCACTCACGTCTATGAAGGAAAGGCCGGGCCCGGACAGTGGGATGGCCACCAGCGTCGGTGCCGTGTCCTCCCCCACGGAGCCACAGCAGGCAGACGCCCGCGCGCGGAGGCTGGAGTGACCGAGTCCGGCAGAGCGGGGCGTGGGCCTTCCGATGCTGGCCCGGTGGGCTCCCGCTGTCCAGGCTGCCGACCGTGCGACGCAGAGGTGGGAGACCCCCACCGAGCCCCTTCCAGAGGGCCTGGTGCAGAAGCAACAGGGACGTGTGACCGCTGCGGTTCTCCTGAAACCCAGCGAGCTGTCCGGGACTCGGCGGGGGTCCCCGGCGGGATCGCAGCGGAAGAGCAGGTTGGGGAGGGGCCGGCTGCAGCTCAGTCACGGACCCTGCGCTGTGTTTCTGTGCTGGAGAGAGAGCGTGTCTGGCTCTTAGCGCCTGGCCTCGAGCCCCCAGGCCCTGCCCTTTGTGGTGCGGCGGCCCCCGGGGGCCTCCCGGCCTCGGCCCTCTGCCCCGTGGTCGCCCCCGACACCGTCGCCTGCCACGAGTCTCTCCCTTAGCCTCTAACACTATGCAACGTCGGCCCTTACCCGCGGGGGAGGAGCCGGGACCTGACACACTGGTGCTATGACTTATTTCAGATCTATATTTTTGTGTGAACATTGTGTTTTACCATGACCATAGAGTAAGGAACTCATGTGAATATCCCCGGCCCTGCTGTCGCCGCCTCAGGCCCTCTGCTCCCCTGGCCGCGCCCCCGGGACCCCCTCCCCGGCCCTGTCCCAGGAGCCCGTGCTTGTCGGCTCCACTCCACACTCCCGGCCCAGGTCCGGGTGCCTCCGCCCGCAGCGCCTGCTCCCCCCCTCCCAGGCGGGTGGGGGCCTTGGGCTCCACCGTCGGTGCCTCCTGGGTCTCCCCAGCATTGAGCTGGCTGCGGCCTTTCTGGCGGCGGTTAGAGCCGGGTGGGTGGTGGAGTCCCCGGCTCTCTGGGCGGGGAGGAGCGCACGGCGGCCTCCGCCCACCCCCGTGTCTTGGGAGGCACAGCTCTTACTTGCCCAGGGTCCCATCCGTGTTTCCTGGCTCGTGCCTGTTGTTAAGCGGCCACAGCCTCCTGCGTATGTGCTGGCCGAGGTCGCAGGGGACGGGGGAAGGGCCGAGGGTGGACGCCGGGGTCACACTGGCAACTCTGAGGCCACCGCGGGGTTTCTGTCGCGTTGTGGGTTTCTTTCCTTCTCCACCTGTGTGGTGTATTTTTAAACAGATTTTATTTTTCAAAGAAGAGTTCTTGTAGACGATCACACTCCCACGGGCCAGCGTGGCCTCCCGGCGTGGCCGCAGTGGCCGACAGGATGCCTGCCGAGGGGCGCAGGTGCCGCCGCCCCGCCCCGCCCCGCCCGCGGCCGCGGCCCGTGCCTCCGTGCCTTCACTTGAGCTGTTTGCCTTAATCTCTGCAGTCTTGCTTTCAGGGTGGTTAATAAAATGCAACACTTGGCATTTTTTATGTTTAAAAAACAGTATTTTATTTATAATAAAATCTGAATATTTGTAACCCTTTCTCTTGGGCGTGGCCTGAGTGTGTTTCTGGGGACGCCGGCATGTGCCAGGCAGGATGAGCGGCGTCTCCGGGCTACCCGGCACCTTGGGACGCCGCGGTGTAGCTCCAAGGGCACCAGGGCCCCACACTCTCGGACCGGCTGTGCTGGGGCAGCGAGAGGCGGCCAGGTCCTGGGGTCCCCGGGCAGACGCCGTCGAGGCTGCCCTGTGCGCAGCCTTCCAAGGCAGGTCCTGGGGTCCCATGGGAACAGAACCGAGGGGTCGTTTGGCACAGTGGGGAAGACACTACTTGGGACGTCCACTTCCCATGGTGCAGCACCCAGTTCAAGTCCTGGCTCCACTTCCCGTCCAACCTCCTGCCGATGGACACCCTGGGAAGTAGTGGCTTGTGGGAGACACCGGGGGAGCTCCTGGCTCCCGGCTCCCGCCTGGCCCAGCCCTGGCTGTTGTGGGCATTCTGGGAGTGACCCAGCAGATGGAAGGTCTGTCTACCTTTCAAGTAAACAATGGCTTTCACAGACGCACCCGAAAAAGTGCAAGCTACCTAGAAGTGGAGTGCACCCCGCCCCCGGAGGGCAGAGCCCTCAGGCCCCATAAGGAGGATCCCAGCTCCTGGGGTGTCCCCTGGGGAGGTGCTGGCGGGATCAGAGACACGGTGCTCCTGTGTGGCCACTGGGAGCCTGGAAGAGGCGGCTCAAGGGGCTCCTACCCTCCGCCATTTGGGGGCCACACCTCAGATGAGCACCCCATAACGTGGCCGACTCGGTGCCCATCCTCGCCACGTGAGGAATGTGGGTGTGCCAGCTCCTCCTCCAGCTCCCAAGGCTGCAGGGTCCTGAGGTGGGGCAGCACAGTCCGAGGGGAAGGCCCCCCAGCCTGGGCACAGAGTTACGGATGGCCCCCAGCCCTTTCCTGCCTGCCCGTGGCCTCAGGCTGGGGTCAGTGCAGAGCAAGTGCGAGGTCAGCCTGAGCAGAGCCGTCTGGGAGCGGACACCGGCCGGGGATTACAGGTTCTGGGGCTGCTGAGCCAGCGCCCGAGCCAGCTGTGGTTTCGGTGATGACGGGGTCATCGTGGCCGGGGTGTGTTGGAACCTGCAGACTGTGCAGCTGAGACAGTCGGCCCTCCGTGTCTCGGCTGCGTCCTGCCAGGACTGGCACCGTGGAGGCCGCGTGCACCCGCAGTCTCCTCTTGGGGCCCCAGTTCACTGGACCCAGGGTGACATTCTAAGGGTTTCCCAGGGCATGTGGCTGCCGACCTCTGGGCTCTGTTGTCCGCCTGTTCCTGCCTCGCTCCCGGGTCTACTGTGTCGTCTTGTTGGGGCCCTGGCTGCACACCTGCGTGCCGAGCCGCCTCTGATCCCTGCTCTGGAGGGGGCAGGGCAGATTTGAATACACCAGCAACGTGCCCAGCGCGAGGGACCAGCGAGGGCAGGATTCTCACTCAGAACCCCGGGTTCCGCAGGCGTGGGCCCGCACACCACAGAGCTGGCCCCTCTCCCCGCTGGCTGCCTGCGTCCGCCTCTCCCCTGCTTGGGCTCAGGAGTGATCATCCAAGGCCGCTCCTGTAACTTGGCTGAAAGAGGGATTCAGGGGCCAGCACTGTGGCGCAGCAGGTTAAGCCACTGCCTGCAACACCAGCATCTCATACCGGCCCCGGTTCGAGTCCTGCTGCTCCACTTCCTATCCAGCTCCCTGATAATGCGCCCAGGAAAGCAGTGGAAGATGTACCAAGTACATGGACCCCTGCTACACTCGGGGGAGACTGGGATGCAGCTCCGGACTCCTGGCTTCGGCCTGGCCCAGCCCCAGTCTTTGCAGCCATTTGGGGAGAGAACCAGCAGATGGAAGACCTCTGTTTATCCATTTGGCTCTGTAACTCTGCCTTTAAATAAATAATCATAAAAGCAATCTTTTAAAAAGCAGAGGAATTCACCTGCAAGTCCTTTCTTGGGATGTCTCGGTACTGCGTCCGCTGTCCTACTCCGCGTCCGCTGTCCTACTCTGCGTCAGCTGTCCTACTCCGCGTCCGCTGTCCTACTCTGTGTCCGCTGTCCTCCTCCGCGTCCGCTGTCCTACTCCGCGTCCGCTGTCCTACTCTGTGTCCGCTGTCCTACTCTGCGTCCGCTGTCCTACTCCGCGTCCGCTGTCCTACTCCGCGTCCGCTGTCCTACTCTGTGTCCGCTGTCCTCCTCCGCGTCCGCTGTCCTACTCCGCTTCCGCTGTCCTACTCTGTGTCCGCTGTCCTACTCTGTGTCCGCTGTCCTACTCCGCGTGCTGCCTGCGAGCTCGAATCCTCGTCACAGTGCTGTACATGAACCCAGTCCTGCAGCATGTGGTGAGCATGCGATTGTAGTCCTGCGCTCTGTAGCTCTTTTTTCTGCTTCTTCAAATGTCGTTTACTTTGAGACTTTGAGGCTTGGAGTGACGAAGGCCATGCTGAGTGCCCTGTACACGTCACCTGCTCCCCCAGACGTGGCCACTGACGTGGTTGTGCACAGAGATCAAAGTCAAAGCTGAGGGGCTGGCGCGAGCGGGGCGGGCACCCCCACCCCCACCCCCTGTCAGTGCCTGCTTCAAGGCCTGGGTCCGCTGCTTCCCATTCAGCTTCCTCCTGCCAGCGCGTCCAGGAGGCAGCGGACGGTGCCTGGATGGTGGCTCAGGTGCCTGGACGGTGGCTCAGGTGCCTGGACGGTGACTCAGGTGCCTGGACGGTGGCTCAGGTGCCTGGACGGTGACTCAGGTGCCTGGATGGTGGCTCAGGTGCCTGGGCCCTGCCGCCCGCGTGGGAGACCCGGATGGAGCTCCAGGCTCCTGGGCGGTCTGTGGGCACCTGGGGAGAGAACCAGCAGATGGAAGACACCACTGCCCCCTTCTCTCCCTCCCTCCCTCTCTCTCTCTCGTGCACTGCCGTTCCAGGACTGTTAACGAAATTACAGCCTCCTGCCTACTTCTAAACATTTTCCCAAGGCTTCATTTTTGCAGGAAGGCTGGCCTTTTTAGCAGAAAATGAGAACACTCAACATTAATTCTCGAGCTGTAGGGCAACAGGAGCACGGAGCCCAAAATAATGGACTCCGTTTCCTGTCCCGCTCGTCGTCCCGGCGTGGGCTTGGGCACAGGTGACCGCCAAGGTGACTTAGTGACTCGTTACCCAGCTGCGCACGAGAGCTGACTCAGCACGGGAACCGCAGGCTTGGGTCTCAGGGCTGACTTACGCTAGGGACGCTGCGTCCTAGACGTTTAAAATCCGCTGAATTTCAGAGCACAGAGCGGCGACTTTGGCAGCAAAAGCCCCCAGGTTTCCTGCTCCCAGATGCCCCGAATGTCCGCGTTTCCCGCGTTGCTGGGACCCCTGTGCTCCCCGTGGGACTCTAGGAGCTTCCAGAGGCAGGCGCAGTGGACGGCGCGGAGACCCCGAATAGGCACACGTGCCGGGGCCATGCGGCAGGCTGAGGCTGTGCCTGGGCTGGGCGGGGCGGGGCGGGGCTGGGTGGAGTTTGCCTGGGCTGGGCGGGGCTGGGCGAGGCCAGCGTTTTCTCAGCCCCTGGGTTGGTGTCCAGCCCCAGTGGCCCTGAGCAGGAGGCGGGAGGCTTCTACTGCTCGGGTCAGGGCTGTGTGACAATGTGCTGGCTGCCCCAGCTCTACCTCCCAGCTGGCTCCCTGCTAACGCTCGCCCTGGAGGCAGCAGGTGGTGGGGAGTGAACCAGCAGCAGATAGAAGATGCTCTGTCACTCTGCCTTTGAAATAAACCAACATCTTTTTTATAAAAAGATTGTTTGGGTGTGAGAACTGAAATCCTTGCGTAGTGTCATCCCAGGCGTTCGCCGTGAACCTTCGAGGGCGCTGCACACGTTGTTGCCGATTCATGGATCCCGCTTTAGTTCATGGGCTGCAAGGAGTGGTTCTGGATCCCTGCGGATTCCGAGCTGCCGCCCTGGGGAGCCGGAGTGTCCAGCAGGCCCCGCCCCCCGATGGCCCGTCCCCACGACGGCCCCACCCCGCGATGGCCCCGCCTCCACTCTGGCCCCGCCCCTGCCAGCCCCGCCCACAACCCAGGCCTACATAGGGGCAGGAGGCGGGGGTCGGACCACCCCAGGGTCCATGGCCACCTGCCAGAGCCGGTGCCGGTGCCAGAGCCGGCTCTCTGCCCCGGGGAGCCTCGCCTGCCAGCCCAGGCTCTGGGAGCAGATCCTGGGCTGTTTTCAGGCTGAGGGCTGATCTGGCCAAACAGACGCAGGACCCCGACAGCCTGGTCACACCAGCACCTCCGCCCATGTTCTGGCCAGGGTGGGCTTTGGTTTCACAGGGGTCTCTGAGGAGCAGCCCGGCAGAGCCCGACACCGAGCAGAAGACCCTCGTTGTTCCATGTTGCGGCTTCCGTCCCCCGCGGCTGCGGACGGGTGGCTGTCCAGGAGCAGTAAGGCCAGGCCAACCTGCAGGTGCGTGTTTCAGGAGAACGTGGGGACAGCCACCCCGTGTGGGAAGGCAGGGTCCACGCCCACGAAGGCGCTGATGGCAGGAAGGCCAAGGGCGCAGATCCGGGACAGCCCGGCCGGGACCAGCTCAAACCTGCAGATACCTGCCTGGTGGCCAGGCCCCGTGGAGCAGCCCCGTGCCGCGTGGGGTCAGCCAGGAGCTGCTGACCCTGGCGCTGACCCAGCGGACACTCAGCCTGCAGATGACATCAGGGGCTGGGAGCGAGGCGTCTGTCGTGTTTCCTGCATGCCCAGACTACGGACACGCCTAATTCCAGAAAATTCCACCCACTTGGAGGAAATCGGCCCTAGCCCACTTTCCACAGATATCAGTGAACTAAAATCATCCATCCACGTAAAGATTAGACTAAAACTCCTCGAGAGGAGACAGCCCTCCCGCCGAGGATCGCCCTGTGCCCCCGGGAGAGGAGACGACCAGGAGGGTCCCAAGCCGACGCTCGGGGCTCACGCTCCTGAGCAGAGGCACGGAGACGGCGTGCCACGCCCAGAGCCCCAGCGCAAGGC